TTTTTATTAAAATTTCTCCATTCATATATATAAATATATTTAAATGAATATTTACCAAACAAAAAAACAAAAACAACATATAAACAATATCTCATCGCAAAAGTGTTAGACGATTCTCTTTCATTCGAGAAAGGTGGAAGAGGGTTAGATAATTAAAATAAAATTCATGTAACGATAAAAGAAAGAAAAAAAAGAAAACAAATAATTATTAACAAATAAAATATTAATAAGAACAAGAAGATTTTTACGCAATAATAATGGAAATGTAAAAGAAACAAGAAAAACATAACTTTTTATAGGATAATACTTGTAGAAACGTTAATACTATGATTAGAAAAAAAAAAAACTTGTGCGTAAAAGTGAATCATTCCGACGTACACATATACACGCACCATACTCACACACATATATTACATGCATACATACCACAGTAGAGGACACGTATCGTTTAAAAAAATCTTTTCTTTTTTGGTTTTTATAATTCAATTCTTTTGCATTTTTGAAACAAGCACGAAGTGTTTTTTTTTTTTTGTACATTTTGTAATATAAAACATTTGGACAAGAAACATGCTATGCCAATATAATTTTATGTCTTATTATTTTTAATTGTATATTCTTGTGTTATTTGTTAAACGAAAAATTTCATTTGTTCAACGTTAAAAAATCAAAACTTTTTGTTATATATTTTCAATTAAAATTTCTTCAAATGCACATTTTCTTTTTATTGTTTTTTTTTTTTTTTTTTTTACAAACGTGCTCTCTCTTTTCTTTCTTTCTCACTCAATGTTCACTTTCTAATTGTTCTTTTTTTTTTGTTTAATAAATAATTAATCGAACATCACATACACAAAGCCTTAATAAAAAGCCTTACAAGAAACAAATGATTCTCAACGAATTGAAAAACCAAGCACCGATATTATTTTTTTAATATTTCGTATCGATTATCATTATCATTATAATTATCGTTATTATTATTATTATTATTATTATTATTATTATTATTATTATTATTATTACTATTATTATGATTATAATTATTATAAGATATCATTTTAAAAAATTATTATTTTCAAATCATATGAGAAACGAACTGAATATTAAATACTACTATTAAATTGTAAAAAAAAAAAGAAAATAATATTCAGATTGAAAAACCTAACAACGATATCTAAAATTGCTAAAAATAAATGAAAATAATAATCATCGATCACCGAAATAATAATAATAATAATTAAAATACCGGAAACGCGTTCAACGAACTATATATCTGCTTTGATAGAAAATTTAATATAATATAATCTAATTTATATATAATATAATATAATATAATTTAATATATAATATAATTTTTACACATATATCTTGCATATATACGCTGTTTTTGCACTTATATTCATTTACAAAAATTATACAAGCTAATACAATGGAATGATATTGTGTTTCACTTTTTTTTTGTGTGTGTAATTATATTATTATTATTATTATTATTATTATTATTATTATTATTATTATTATTATTAGTATTAATTATTTAGAATAATATTATATAATATTTGTATTAATAAATAATAATAAAATATAATAACTGATATTATTATTTATTAATAATTAATATTATTATTTATATGTATATCGTTAATGCTAGTTCACTAAATCAGCGTTTTATTATAGTCAGGATTACCTCATTATTATTATTGTTAATTATTTTTTTTATTTATTAATTATAGTTATATTAATATAAATTCCTTTTGTGAATTCTTTTTTCTTCATTTTCTTTTATTTTCATGCTACTATCCTCTCGTGTAAAGCGAAATATAATTAATAGATAAATAACAAAGCTGATAAAAAATAAAATTAAAAATAAATAAAATTCATTTTGTTCTTTATCATGATATTTTCTTTTTCAAGATGAAAAATTAGAAATAAATAAACATATGTTTCTTCTCATAGCCAAGTCTAAATGTTAAAATGTTTTTTTTTTATCTTTCAAATGTTTAATACTTCAGTGTAAATTATTGTTAGCAAGAAATAATACTGATGTTACTTGTTTTATCTAGCTATTTAATTTTCTACGAATGCAATGAACTAACTATGATTTATTAAAAACAACCATGATACCGACGAATTATATATTTTTTTTTAAATATAAAATATTAATAATGTTCGATGATTATGATATCTTACAAAAAATATATATCAGTTCTATTTAACAGAATGAATTAAATTTCAAATGTCTTTTTTTTTTTTTTTTAAATAAGAAACCTAACTAACTATAATGATCGATAAGCGTGCTTATTGTGGACGAAAGTAGTAGTCACTTAAAATAAGAAAAAAAAAAAAAAAAGACAAAAAGAACAAAAGAATAAAATAAAATTTGTGACTAGAGGAACAAATAGCCTTATTACACATACATTTCGTTGAATACATGGACTAGAAACTGAAACGTGTATTTTATTGCAAATGAAATATAAACATTTCTATTTCTACAAATTTTCTTTTCTTTTCTAACGTGGAAGAATCTTAAATCCTAAATTTTGATACCAAGGATATGTTGTAACTATAGTTATATGTGAATTCTTTCATTTTCAAAATTAATGAATGCTTAAAAAAAAAAATAAAAAATAAAAAAAATAATAAAAGGTCAAATCTTTAGAGAATTAAATAATTTTTCAATTTTGTTTTTGTCATCTACGTGCGTGCAATAAAATGCATGCAAAAAATTGACGATAATACAATATTTAAATATTCAAAAATTAATTCGATGTGTTTAAATTGAAAAGATACCGAAAAAAAAATTCGCGTGAAATGTTATCGATAAAATGTATTTAAAAAAAAAAAAAAAGAACTATTACACGTACTATTACACATTCCTATCGTACGAATATTTGTAAATATACGAAGTTATATGAGAGTCATGAGTAATATATTATGTAAATGATGTATATGTATATATACATATATAATTTAAATATATATATGTATTTATAATAATAATATGTTCATCTCCACACACATTTATATTTGTCGCGGATTTATGAAAATAAATTGGCGTTGTAGCAGGCACCGTGTCTTTACCATTGTAATAGAAAATTTTTAATTAGGCTACCGACCGGAATGAATTTTGTCGGTTCGAATGTTCATCGTTTTTATTTATTTTTTTTTCTTTCTTATTTTCTTTTTCTCTCTGTTTTCTTTCTTTCTTTCATTTTTGTTTTGTTCTTTTTTTCGTATTTTATTTTTATCATTTTTTTTTCTCATCATATGCGCATCTTCTAATTTTATAAACGTGAAACTTAAATGACGTGATTTTTTCTTTATCAGCACACTAATAAACGACGAAGATTTCAATTTGATGGCGAATCGTAGAAGTTAAAAAAATAGAAAATAATATCACATTGGCGGCACGTGCAAAATTAATTTCTTTCGCTCTTTATAAAATTATTTGTTGTGCATTATTATATATATATATATATATTATATATTATTAATTTATTTAATGTATATAATAAGTTATATTTATATTTATGTAGGTATATGACATTTGTTTTAAATGATTATTTTTATCAAATATTTTCAAAATCCTTTATCCAACACCAAAAAGATACACATTTATTAATTTTCAATTGATTTTATGGAAAATTCTTTCAAAACAAAATTTCTTTTGACTCATTTTTATACCAATCAATTCTATTTCTATTTTCTTTTTTATTTTTTATTTTAAACGAATGAAACAAGCTGAAGGAATCACGTGCTGCCTTAAATTCATGTTTTTCTGAAGTTTAAGATTAAACCAAAAAATTACGAATCAATCCCGAAACATTTTTCTACGACTCGAACATTTCACTTTCACTTGCATTGTGTTTTTTTTTTTTTATTTTTTATTCGTAAACTTTTTACATGTAGCTAAATAAAAAAATCTTCGAACTTAAAAAGAGAGAAGAGAAAGAAAAAAATACAAGAAGAGGAAAATAAAAAATAAA